TTTGAGCCACACAAATTGTGGCTCTCAAACATTATTCATATATATATTGAATCTTGGGTTTTAAAAACAAGCCCTAATTGTTACCAAATTGAATTGGGTCTCCACAAATATAATATATAAAAATATATTATACTTAAATCAAGCCAAATTGAAACTCTTTTAATAAACTAATTGGGTCCCACACTCCAATAAGGAGGTATACCCAACAGTTCATCGGGTTGTGAACGAAATTGGAGTGTCTTTGAACATGTGAGTATTTAACATTCTAACTAATTTTTTGTTGAATTCAAATTTTTTTTTTCTCATTATATAGAATTTAATATCTTTTTAATAATTGCAGCTTCATAGCAAGAAAAGAAATAGATTGGAACAACAACGTCTCAATGATTTAGTGTATGTCAAATACAATAGAACATTGAGATTTAGGTATGACATGCGCAACACTCTTGATCCCATATCTTTGCAAAATATTGATGAAAGCAATGAGTGGTTGCTTGGGAGGGGATGGATGGAGAATCAGATGAAGATAATGAGCCTGTGTTTGATGATGATGATGGCTTGACTTGGGCCACTGTTGCTAGAGCTTCTGGAGTAGAAGAAAGTAGCCATGCAAGTAGAGCAACAAGTTCACGCTCAAAGGCACAACCGAGGATATCTAAATCATCAACATTGACTCCACTTCAATTAATAGATGAAGAGGAAGCGGGCTCAGATGACACAGAGGATGAAGATGTTGAGGGATACAAATCAACTGATGGAGAAGAAGATGATGATTGACTGACACCGACCTAACCTACCCTTTCTTTTGATATTGATGTTTTTAAGTGTTAAGACATATATTAGTATTTGTTAGATATTTATGTTTTGGATATTTAGTGTTTATGTTTTTATTTTATTGAATGTGGATTATTTGATCTTTGAAAATTGGAATGTTATATAATATGCACTTTCATGACTTTGAGAATTATTCTATATTTTGCCTTGAATCTTGATTACTTTTTATTTTTTAAAAAATTGTCTTAATACTATGAATAATTAGTCTATATTAATTTTTCTATTTTTTACTAAGACTGTGCGCCTTACTTCAATAAAGCCCGCGCCTCGCCTTGCGCCTAGGCTCCAAGAGACCTTTGACGCCTTAGTGCGCCTTGAGCCTTTAAAAACACTGGTGAGATGTGAGATGTTAGGTGTGAGTTGTAATCTCCTTCCGGGATAATTCTATAGTGGATATCACTCCCGTGGACGTAGGCAATTGCCGAACCACGTAAATCTCTTGTATTATTGTGTGTGATTGATTTCTGGTGTCCCATAGTCCCAACACCTTCGTGAACAAATTTCAACCCAAGGCCCACATTAATCAATTCAATGCAAGAGGGCCCAAAATTTGCCAACCCAAACTCGGTTCAAATCAGTTACCCAAAACACATTTACCCAAAATTTGAGCTATCCCTCCATGATTCAAAATCATGTGCTAGAACACCTCTCTATGCGTACAACACTCAAAAGACCAAAAGATCGGTCTAACCTGAGCAACAGCTTTACCCAGACCCACGTGGGTGATACAGCTAACCTAACGTGGTTGATAACCTACAAACAACCACGCGCAAACCTATACCGGCGATAAGCCAGTGCTGGAGAAGAAACAACACCTCCACGCTTTGGCACTGCGTGCAGACTACAACACCATCCTCATCATTCTAGAACAAAAACAACACCATCCTGGACAAGCGACGATGGTCGGCGTTAGAACAACCACCGCTTGCGACAAGCAAAAACCCCGAGATTTCTAAAAGACTCTGACAATCAAAACATGGGCAGTGACCACGCAGAACACTGCCGAAACCTAAACAGACAATCCAAACAAACGACCAGCCGGACGATGATGACCGATGCCAATCAACAAACCCACGCTGACCACCGTTGCCGGAGTACTTCGAAAAAACTATAGCGGCACCAACCTAACCCACCAGCAAGAACGTCGGCAAAACACTCAAAACCATTTGCCAAACCAGCACAACACACCAGAAAAAGCTGCAGATGAACCACATTTCGAACTAGACCAACCGCTGAATAAAAAAAAACCCACTGAATCTTCCAAACCAGACCCACTGTACGTGTCTAGGCAAAGCAAACAACAGCTCACAGGCAAACAGACACCCACCGACAAACTTTGAAAACCCTCCAAATAACCACATCCCACCATGGTGAATCAAAGAAACCCTCCACCATGATCAGTAAGAGCGAAGACCACACCATTAACCTTCATTAACGCTTCACCTCCGATGACAACCGCCGGATTGGACCAACGAGGCCCTAGCTCCGATGCAACTGAAACCAACTACCTCCATAAAAAATTAACCACCATAGCTAAGCAGCTCAAAACAGCACCTCCTCACACACACGGTAGCAACGGCGCCGGAGTTAGAACCTTGTCGGAGCAACATGAGCCACCTATACCCTCTCACACTCACTTTCCATCTCAACAACCTGAGCTCACAGCAAAGACACCATTTTTACACTCAGGGGGGAGCTTTCTCTCTAGAGAGGCTCTACTTTCTTCCCCTCTTTGCCAAGTGATATGTTCGTAACAGGAAGATCACATGTGGATGACAGTGATTTTTTTAAAAAAAAAAATATTTGTTTGTAGTGTCGACTTAGTGATAGTTTTACTCTACTGACAAAGGCACAAGCAATATGTGCAATAAACATCAATGCTGCCTACAAATAATTGAAAGTTTTTAAAAAAACAAGGTTAATGGTATCCATATTGATCAGCTTGCCATCTTAACAGCAGAATTGGCTCAGTCAACTGAAATCCATAGTGAACACAGTTGCGAAAAGTGAATAATTCAGAAGACACCTTCAATTTGGTCAACTTTTGCAAGATTGAAAGATGACATGAAAAGCTAGTTATTATTTTGAAAAATAGATTATAAAATTCAATGGCGGTTCTTCTCACAAACGTCTGTTTACAAGTTAAACAACACAAAATATGATGTGCCATCCATATCTCACCAGCTGGCATACTACCCCACATCCAATCATAATCATGCCAATCACTTATCAATACATATACGGCCTCCTAGAATTTCTTAATTATATTAGTAAGCAAATATATATACATAGGTGTATTCCAGTAAAACCACCATAAGATCATCAGATGTAATACTACGTCAAATTTGGTAATAAATTATTGCTTTACTTTGTTGCGTAAAGGTGCATGTCACTTGACATTTTACATTTTAATAAAGTAAGATGAAAAGACTTTTGTTAGCTTGATAACAATCTCTCTCTCCTTACTTCAAAAGTTGTTGCATGCAAAGATCAAAGATATTAACGAAGCTCCTCAAATTCAATATTTGAAAATAAAGCCTTCAATGAAACCTAAATTTAAATAGTGCAAATCACCTAATTATTATTAATTGTCCAGAAAACACAAACATATATCATCATTCGATTAGCAAGGTAATCTTGCCAAATTTCATACAGAAATTATGTTGCATTTGCAAATACTCACAATTACTCCAAATGATAAAAATATACCCATCTTTACTAACTAGAAGGCATCTCCAATCAGTGACTCAAACCTATATCAAATTTAAATTTGGGTAAAAATTACTTCAAACGCTCTCCACTCCTTCATCCAAATTTATACTAAATTGAGTTTTACAAATTTTTATTCCAAATCAAGGAATACTCTAATGTTTACTCAAAATTTTCAAAGCTATTTTGTGGCCCTCTACCACTGCTAATTAAGTTGGGGCATTGATATGCCCTATATTATGAGTGAAGCCCATACCAGTTGACCACAATTTATTAATCATCAAAATATAAATAATTTATTAGAAAGACACTAATATCTGCATATGTAGACTCTATGGATTCCCAAATCCAGACCTTGTTTGGGATCTACTACAAAAGTGCACTTTTTTGCAACAATACACTTTTTTGGGTCATATCAATCAACATCTCCTCTCTACTTTTTTACACATTTTTTTATAAAAAGTCAAAAAATGCATTAATTTAGAACATCCCAGGATAGAAAAAACAAAAAAGGGTCTTTTTTACTTCATGATAAAAATAAAAATAAAAATAATTTGAAGAAGTGTACCATATCTTATAGAAATAAAAAATAAATAAAAAATCAGAACCCCAATTGTTATTTATATATACAGTGTCTTAGAATCTATTCAATGCTTGAAAACAATCGTAGGAATAGAATCAAGAAAAGAACCAAATCAAATACAAAACCATTCATAAGTTGTCTTGCCATTAGTCTAACTATCCAAGAAACTACATGGCACGGCATAGGTAAAACAGAATAACTGCAAACAAGAAACTCTCACTTTCCTGTTAGCATGTTCTCTAAAGCATGCCATCATGATGTTCCATAAGCTGGAACGTTCTTACGGCTGAGTTTTCATTAGAATGAAAGTGGTGGAAACTAATGCAAGTTAATTTTTTTTCCTGTTAGCATGTTCTCTAAAGCATGCCATCATGATGTTCCATAAGCTGGAACGTTCTTAAGGCTGAGTTTCATTAGAATGAAACTGGTGGAAACTAATGAAAGTTAATTTTTTTTTTGTACAGCCCATATTAGTATTATAACTAGGTTTTTAATTTCTTGCAAAATACAGAGGAGAACAAGAAAATTTAAAATCTCTCTCTCTCTTGCAAAATTTTCAGCCTAATCAATGCTTGCAAGAGGATACATTTTCCTTTATACTTCTTTTCTTTCGTTTTACTTTCTACCACTTTCACTTCCCACTATTTTTCTTTCTAATCAAAGAGAGCCTAAAAGTAAAATTACATGAAATCAATAACCCCAATTCACCAACTTAAGGAATCTGTTCTTTATCTTTCCTACTCATGAAATTTCGTTGTAGCAAATGAATATGTAATATGAAGATTAAAATCAACAAACTATAACAAATTATAACATAATAAGACTATACTAACAATAACAAATCAGCAAAAACTACTATTGATCATAAATTTACCTTTTCAGTGCGAGGCACGAGGCCACAAAGCGTGCCGAGATGAGCATTAATCCTCTCTCTCCTCCTCCTCTCTGCCTCACTATGATTCTTCAAAGCAGCCATAACTTTCTCCTCTGAAGCCCCACTTTTCTTCCCAACTCTCACTGGTGGAGTCTTCACAAGCTCACACCCTTCACTATCCAACACCAAAGATTGCGAAACCGACTTCGACCCACCTCCCCAATTCTCACTAAACCCACCTAAATTCTCAAACATCCCCAAACAATTGGACCCAAAATCCGAATTGCTCGATTTCCAAGAATATAAACTCATATTTCAATATAAATCAGAGTATAGAAATTAGCAATAAAATTCTAAGGATCGTCGACACCAGGAGGGCGAGTGGTGGGTGCGAACCAGAAAGAGAGGATTCGAAGGCGAAAATTGAGTTTATGAGAAGTGGGTAGTGATGTTGTGGTGGTTGTGTGTGTGGTCATACCTTCCATAACGCGAAAGAGGGCAAGTGGGATTGTTCGTGAGAAGATATCAAAGAGAGAACATCCACATTTTCTTCTTCATAGTCTTGAATTGGAGCATCTTGATGACGAAAAACGATGAGACCCAGTTGAGGAAATCGATGAATATACAAAATGAAATCGAATCAGAACCCTAGAAACATGTATATATGTGTGTAGATGTGTAGAGAGAGAGAGAATGTGGCTTGTATAGGGACTTTTTGAAGAAGAGTTTGAGAGAGATGAGACAAATGAATGGAAAGAGATCGCGGTGTGTTTGGTTAATAGTTTTTGAGTTAAAAAGTAAAAATATTTATTTGGTTCATTTTTTTTTTAGAAATGATTTTAAAAAATTATTTTGAAAAGAAAATTTTAAAAAAAAAATGATTGATTTAATGTGTATGAGAGAGAGTGTAATTTTAGAAAGTAGCTAATTAAATAAAATTTTAATTTTTTTTTAAAAAAAACTATTTAATTTGATTATTTCGAAAAATTTATTTGTAGAGAATTTTTCTTAAAATTTTTTTCAAAAAACAACCAAACAAGGCCGCATGTTTGGACTTATATACAGAGTGCTTGGCGGCCGCTTCTATTTCTTGGAAAAGTCTACAATGTGCACCTTATAAAATGACATATGATATGTACTTATTGTGTGGTCCATATCGTGCCACATCATAAAAAATGACCTGCTAAACCGGTCATATAACAGGTTACAGAAAGAATCATAACTTTTTCTCAAATATCATAACTTTTTCTCAAATATCATAACAATGTCATAATATTGACCTAAGTGTCATAACAAAGACTATAAATCATAACAATATAATGACAACTCATAACAAATATAGTTATTTGTAATTAATAATCATAACATTTGAATCGTAACATTTTTTATTATGATTCACCATGACAAATCATAACTTTTGGTGGTACAAATCATAACTTTTACTGATGAATCATAACTATAACATATTGAGTATAACTTTTTTTCCCACAATCATAACGACATCAACAAACTATCATAACTCTTATCAATGAATCATAACATAGCATGTTGATTGTAATTTTGTCCAGAAAATCATAACAACATTAACAAAACATCATGATTTTTAAAATTTCAAACACAATTGATTGTGTAATCAATTGGTATAGCATATTGGAGTGAATGGAAAATCGTAATTGATTGCAAAATCGATTGAATTGAAAGACCACAATTGATTACACAATCGATTAGTGGCCAGAGTTTTGAACTTTCACAATTGATTGTACAATCCATTAGAATATAAGGGAGATTCAAATATCACAATTGATTGTCCAATTGATTGTAGAGATCCTTGATATAATAAACCTAATTGATTCAATAATCAATTAGTTTTCATAAGCCAAACTAAACCAATTAATTCCCAACTTATTCATAGTTCCCAATGAATTAGTAAAAGCCTAATCATTAATATCAATTTAGTCAATATTCGAATAGTAATTGATTGGTTGATCGGTTGCCATTTATATGTAATTTTGTTGTTGTGTTTTCATTACCTCAAACATTATCACTACCAAAAACGCATGACATTCCAACTACGTTTCTCGTTTTATAATTCTCTCTCTCTCTCTCTCTCTCTGTGTCAAAGTCATTATCGTCAATGTTTATGTTACCTGAAATGTTGTTGCTATAACTATCTCATCGACTCTCACTCTTTCTTTCCTTGTCATTATTAGCAAATTAGACAACAATGTTATTGTTACTAACTTCAAAAGTCAATTTTTGTATACAAAAAATAAATAACTTTAACTGTCAAAGTACACACAAACCAACTATTGTCCAAACTAAAATAATAATTTCATACAAAATATAGAATCATACAAAAAGCAAAGCCCTCCATATACAAAAATTACATTTATTACCATGTGAAATGACCATTTGGCATGGTACAAATTACCATCGTAATCTGTACCACGACAAAAGGTGATGTATGTACCAAGACAAAAGTACATCTATGTACCACGAGAAAAAATCATATATATGTACAACGACAAGAGGTGATCTATGTACCATGCCAGTAATTATCTGTTGGCTGCCAAAAGTTTTTTGTATCAGTAATAGTGAACTGCACAAAAGCCGGGGATGACAAGAGTATTACATTAGTTCTATACAAAAGTGAAATTTCTTCTCCATACACCAAAATATTACTCTGAAAGTCCACGCAACAAAGTCATCTACAAAAAACAAAAAAACATTAAAATTAGACCCAAAAATGCCCAACTTCATGAATGAATTTGGGAACAAGTGACAAATAACATATCAAAGAAGCAACCTTCCATGATGAATCAATTATCAGTCCTTCTAAAGTCTTTTGTTATAAGGAACATTGTTAAATGCAGAACAATCATTACTAAATCTGTCATTACTAACATAAAGCTAATGTAACAATCTTCTATTTGTATGCAACATGTATCCAAATTATGTGGCTAAACCAATATCAAAGCCTAATGTGAATAGAAACTATTCTTTTTACCAACTTCCTCATTAATTGTTTGCAAAAAGCACTTGAATCATTAGATTGGATATAAAACTATCCCTATTTATTAATGTCTGTCAGTTCCATTTCATTCAAGATATTAGAAAATGTGAGAAAAATAATAACCAAAATAAAGTTCAATCACAAAAGGAAATATGTAGAAATGTATGTTCAATCACAAAAGCAACCTTCCATGATGAATCAATTATGAGTTTTGGGCGTATTCGGCTCTAACTCCCAACCAACGGGTTCGAATTATATTCCGTCAGTTGTCACAAGTCCTATTTGTCATGGGGAAGCTGCCTGTGAGAGTCACACGGTGGTTTGCGGGCTGTTTTGAATTTTCGCCCCCGAACCGCCCTTTTTCGAGTAAGTTTTGGGCGTAATCGGCTCTAACTCCCAACCTATGGGTCTGGATTATATTCCCTCAGTTTTCACAAGTCCTATTTATCATAGGGAAGCTGCCGGTGAGAGTCACATGGTGGTTCGGGGGCTGTTTTGATTTTTTGCCTCTGAAACGCTCTTTTTCGAGTAAGTTTTGGGCGTATTCGGTTCTAACTCCCAACCTACGAGTCCGAATTACATTCCGTCAGTTGTCACAAGTCCTATTTGTCATGGAGAAGCTGCCCGTGAGAGCCGCATGGCGGTTCGGGGGCTATTTTGAATTTTCGCCCCCGAAACGCCCTTTTTAGACTAAGTTTTGGACATGTTCGGCTGTAAATCCCAATCTATGGGTCTGAATTACATTCCTTCAGTTGTCACAAGTCTTATTTGTCATGGGGAAGCTGCTCGTGAGAGTCACACGGTGGTTCGGGGGCTGTTTTGAATTTTCGCCACCGAAACGTTTTTTTCGAGTAAGTTTTGGGCGTATTTGGCTCTAAATCGCAGCCTACGGGTCCGAATTACATTCTGTCACTTGTCACAAGTCCTATTTTTCATGGGGAAGCTACCCATGAGAGTCACACGGTTGTTCGAGGGCTGTTTTGAATTTTTGCCCCCCGGAATGCCCTTTTTCGAGTAAGTTTTGGGCATATTCGGCTCTATCTCCCAACATACGGGTTCGGATTACATTCCGTCAGCTGTCAAAAGTCCTATTTTTCATGGGGAAGCTGCCCGTGAGAGCCACATGGTGGTTCGGGGGCTGTTTTGAATTTTTGGCCCTCCAAAACGCCCTTTTGTGAGTAAGTTTTGGGCATATTCGGGTCTAAATCCCAACTTACGAGTCCGAATAACATTCCGTCAGTTGTCAGAAGTCATATTTGTCATGGAGAAGTTGCCGGTGGGATTCACACGATGGTTCGGGGGCTGTTTCGAATTTTCGCCCCTGAAACGCTTTTTCCGAGTAAGTTTTGGGTATATTCGGCTCTAACTCCCAACCTATGGGTCTGAATTACATTCCGTCAGTTGTCAGAAGTCCTATTTGGCATGGGGAAGCTACTTGTGAGAGCCACACGGTGGATCGGGAGCTGTTTTGAATTTTTGCCCCCCGGAACACCCTTTTCGAGTAAGTTTTGAGCGTATTCGACTCTAACTCTCAACCTACAAGTCCAGATTACATTCTGTCAGTTGTCACAAGTCCTATTTGTCATGGGGAAGCTGTCTGTGAGAGCAACATGGTGGTTTGAGGGTTGTTTTGAATTTTTGCCCCCGGAACGCCTTTTTTCAACCGTGTTTAAGGCGTTTTCGGCTCAAACTTGAAGCCTACGAGTCTGAATTACATTCCGTCAGTTCAATTCTCTTTCAAAAAATGGTTTTTTTTTTTTGAATCAATATTATGTTACAGATTCCATGATTCCCATGCCATGCCATGCCAATTTCTCTATATCATCATTTCTTCATGTCATCACAAGTTATATGGCATGAAGCAATTTTTCAAATTCCCATTCCATTGTCATTTAATCAGAATTTCATCCCTTACATTCTCAAGAAACAAAATTAGCCTCAACGAACAACCCACAAAAATTTAATCTTGCAAGTTCAAACCATCATATATTATATAGCCTACAATGAGATGCAGAAGCTTATGCGAACGATCTAGCATCTATCAGACAAATTTACCAAAACATGCACCAATGTCTTGTATAAAAACAGTGGATAACATTTTAGTGGTATAGCTCAGAATCATGAGTGGTAAAGTACGTGAAGTTGTAAATAAATCCTCTGTTTAAGAATAAATTAATAAACCAAATACGTCAAATTTATAACTCATTTACAAACAAACAGTAAATGCTAAACTCATTCTTGGGTCTTGATCTAATAAAGTGAATATAATAAAACCAAGTTTCAGTTACCTTCAGAGCATACACTGACAAGGTCATACACTACAAAACAGCCATAAGAGAGCACAAGATCTCTCAAGGATAATTTCCCATAACTTTCCTAACCATCTAAACTTGAAATATGATCAGTAAAATGTACTGGCTTGTCCATAGATTAAACATGTTGAAGATCAAGGAAAACTAGAAAAAACAACTGACAGTAAACAACATGAAAGAAGGCATTACCTCCACAAAGGCCATTAAAAAATGAGTAGATCCCACCAGGTTTCAACAATGACGGAAGATGTTGGTGGAACTCTCTCATATCTTCATAATACTCCCCATAAGTGTCAAACAATACACCTGGAAAAAATAGAATCACTAGTGAGAAAATAATATCTAATTTAATGAGGTTTGCATGTCTATAGGTTGGTATATTAAATGGGATGGAAAGGGGAGTGAGTAGTAACCACTAGT